AAGGGATACAGAAATGCTGATGCCTAGGAGCACATGTACCCCAATGTTCATAGCAGCATTCTCAACAATAGCCAAAACATGGAAAGAGCCTAAGTGTCCATCAATGGACGAATGGATCAAGAAGCTGTGGTTTATCTATATGATGGAATACTACATGGCAATGAGAAAGAATGAAATCTGGCCATGAGTAGCAACATGGATGGACCTTGAGGGTGTTATGCTTAGCGAAATAAGTCAGGCAGAGAAGGACAAACATCACATGTTTGTACGTATAGGAGGATTAGGAGGAACTTAACGGAGGACCATGGGGTAGAAGAAGGGGGGAAATGGTGGGGGAAAGGGAGAGAGGCAAACCATGAGAGACTCTTGAATGCTGAGAAACAAACTGAAGACTGATGGATGTGGGGGGGAGGGGGGAGATGGGCATGGAGGAGGGCACTTGTGGGGATGAGCACTGGGTGTTATATGGAAACCAATTTGACAATAAACTATTTGTAAAATTTTAAAAAAATAAATATTAAGAAAAAAAAAAAGACGCAGGGTCTGCTGCTGGGAAACAGAAAAACCTCCGCTCGGGGCATAGAAGGACGGTGCATGCCAAATCCCCGCGCGTGAAATCATCCCGGAGCAGCTGTGCTTGAGCCAACTCAACCCGGAGCGGCTACGGGCTCCCCAGCACCGCTCCTTTGTTCCTTTGTATTCCCAGCGTGGCTGGATTCCTGGAGGAGCCGTGCGCGGACCTCCGCGCTCCGAGCTGGTTGGAACTTTAGAGGGAAGGCGAAGGGCTTAAAACTGGAAGATTTGCCGAGTTCATGTTTCGGTTGACGAGACACAGAGGGACCTGATCTCCCTCTCTTCAGTGGGCCAGATGCGCCCTGCAGGCAAGCCCCTGCCCAGGCTCACCAACCCGACCTGGAGAAATGGGAGCAGCGGCTTCTGGCTCCACCAAGGCTCCAGGGCTAGGCAAGATGCTTGGAATTGCCCTGAGGTGATTGCCTGCCAGCTTCTGGTGGCCGTGGTTTCAGTCAGGCGCCGGACTGCACTTGGAAACTAGCTGGCCTGGGTTAAAGAGTGCGACCCACCCGGTATGGGAGTTTACACACCCAAAAAAGCGAGTTGCAGTCCTTGGTTCAAGAAGGGACTGGTGCACCGCCACTCTCCTCCCCATAACCGCTAAGGCAGAACTCCCGCCTGATGCACTGGATCACACCACGCCCATCCCTGCTAGAATGCAGCACTCCTCTTTTTTTTTTTTTTTACCCTTTTTCCCCGGAACACTGACCCGATTAACTTTGGTCACGGGCTTGCTTAAATAGTCACAACGAGTCCATTCTGTAGATGTAAATTCTACACCTACCGACATTTTCATCTCTTTCTCTCAGGAGTAATTAGACTATATAGTTTCTCTGGATAATACCAGCATCCTTCTCTCACCTGTCCAACCATATTCCACCCCTTAGCTCTTTGAAAAAAGCTTCTTATCCCTCCTGCCTGTTCATTCTATTTCCAATTTTGCCTCATCCCCGCCCTGTCATCTCTCTCTTTCTCTATGCTCTGCAACCAGCACTGCATACACACGGCTATTTAACGGTAGCTGGGAAATCCGGTTATATGCTTTAAACCGTTCTTTGTCCATCGGTTTTCTTCTTCCTTTCTTTTCTTTTCTTCTTTTTGACTCCTTTATGTATTTTTTACTCTCTATTATTCGCTCTCCCTCCTCGGTCTTTTCTCTTAACTTTTTTGTTTTCCCTCTTGGTTTGCATGTTAGTTGAATTTGTCTGTGTGTTTGTGTGCTCCTGCTCCCTGTGTGTTTGTCTGTTTTCTTCTCCAGGGCTACCTCAAGAAACAAGCCAGAG